GGACCAGTGGGATGGAATCGAAGACCCATTCTGTCGGCTATAATATACTAATTGGGCATAAACCTAATGATCTCATCCAATGATATTCGAGATCGCTCTTCGGACCAAAGGACACAACAGTCAATATCCAGCCTAGTCAAGGCGTAATTGGTGATTTTGCGCTGTACCTGGATTAATCACCTGTCGGCTTTCCTTCCAATTACGTGATCATTTACCTTAATTCGACCTTGGTTGCTGAGTAATGGGAATATCGTCAAGTTAACCCATTGCTCCAGGTGAGGGGTCATGTCAATGACCTAACCAGTATATAAAGACACACGCACCTATTGTAACAACACTCATTATTCACAACATAATCAGCATCAAAAATGGCCTCAGCAACTTCATTCCGCGACCTCGTTGGCATTCCCGCCTCGACGGCTAGCCCCTCCGACAGCGTTCTCATCATCATCGATGCGCAGAATGAGTACGCTGAGGGCCAGCTCAAAGTGGTCAACGCTGCTGAGTCGCGCAAAGTCATCGCTGGACTTTTGGAGAAATACCGAGCTGCGAATGGGAGTGTCGTGCATGTTGTACATGATACACCAGAGGGCGCGCCAGTGTTCACCCCAGGTACTAAGCTCGCTGAGGAGTTTGACGAGCTGAAGCCTAAGGATGGCGAGGCTGTTATCCACAAGAACTTCCCTGGTTCATTCACCAAGACGGATCTTCAGAGCGTCTTAGATAAGACTGGGAAGAAGAAGGTTGTTCTTACAGGCTACATGGTAAGTCACTGAGTTGCATTACTGAGAAGCAAGACTAATCATGTGAAGGCTCATGTCTGCGTCTCGACTACGGCGCGTCAAGCTGACGAGCTTGGCTTCGACGTCATCATCCCCGAAGACGCCGTCGGTGACCGTGACATCCCCGGCGTCGACGCCTCACAGCTGGTCAAGGTGTCACTGAGCGAGATTGGCGACGCCTTCGGAACTATCATCAAGAGCAGCAGCATTGCTTAGAACTATCTATAAGTGATATAAACTTTTACAATCTATGTCATTACAATTCATTATATAATTCATTCCTGCTTCTCTGAGAATTCTGGCTGTACGAGTTCCCTCCGTGTGAATTTGACGTTGAAGTCTGTCTGCTTGACGAACCAGGCGTTGATGATTCTCCACTCCTTGCTTGGGTCTTCAAAGTTAATCTGCTTCTTGTTAGTGTTGACTTCATCAAAGCGCGGGATGAGTTAAGCTTACCTCGAATCGTCTTAGAAGACTTGGCACAACCTTGTAGATCTCGAGGAGACTGATATTCTTGCCAATGCATGTTCGGCTACCCATGCCGAACTGGAACATCATACCCGTCATCTTCTTGATACGCTTATCTTCCTCTTCAGCGTCAAGCTTAGGATCAGGCAACCAGCGCTCAGGCCGGTACACATCAGTGTCGGTGCCAAAGATCTCTGGGCGGTTATGGATGATCCAGGCTGAGACACCGACGATCGTGCCGCCCTTGATAAACTCGCCTCCGATTTCTGCTCCCTGGGGAGGAACGATTCTCTCAAGGGGAAGACCTGGTGCGGGGTGCATTCGGAAAGCTTCCTGGACACAGGCATGAAGGTAAGGGAACTTCTGAGCCTCAGAGAAAGTGACAAGACCAGTTTCGTAGTCAGAAAAGACACCGGCCTTGGCAGCCTCATCAAGCTCATTTTTGAGCTTCTGGTAGCACTCGGGGTTTCGGAGGAGGTAGTAGAAGACGGCGGAGAGGGTAATAGCGGTAGTTTCCGAACCTGCAAAAGCCATGGAAACAGCCATGGTTTGGACCAGAGTGTCTGTCATGAACTCGGGGCGGGCTTCACGAGCGGCGATGAACTTGGAGAGCAAGTCTTGACCGAGGGGCTGTTTCTTGAGGTTGCTGGTGGGGAGGCTATCAACCGACTTGAGCTCAGGGATGAGACGTTCAGCCATGCGGGCGCGGGCGAAGCGTGCGACGGCGATTGTTGAGTCAAAGAGACCCCACTGGGAGAGCTTGAGGTAGATAGGGTTCTTCTGGAAGATAAGATCCAGGAAGGGAATTTGTCCGATCTGAGACCTGTTAGTAAGAGCTTGGATAAATGAATGGATGGCTTACAGGTGCAACATAGAGGAACAGCTTGCCTAGGTACGCGACAATACCTTCGACGTCCTCATTCTTCTCAATGAAGCCATGTCTCTTGCTGTAAGTGATCTCGCCAATGACATCAAAAGCGTAGAACTGAAGCCATTGTGTAAAGTCACAGACATCAGACCTCTTGGCAAAGAGATTCTCGGTCTGTTCCAAGAATAATTTGGTGGTGTTGTCGACAAAGGGCTCGTATTGAACGAGTGCGCTCATGGAGAAGGCAGAGTTGACACATCGGCGGAATTGGGAGTGGAAGTCATTGTCTGTTGTGCTGAAGAGAGATGCGAGACGGTGGCCCTTGACCACGGATTGTTGTACGATGTAAAAGTCGGACTGAAGACAGTAAGCATGAGTTTCTGGAGCCAAGTGAATGACGTACCTTGACATAACCCTTGCTGAGACCATAAATGGACTTGAGAACAGCAGGGTCTGCAAATGATAGAGCATTTGGTCCATATCTGACAATATCACCATGCTTAGCATGGAGTTTCTGCAGTGTCACCTCAGGTCTCTGCCCATAAACATCCCAGAAGCGCCACCAATCCGTCAAAGACGCCAAAAAGGGACCGGGGTATTTATTTAGACCATGGTGATATCTGTTCTTGACCAGCCACGCGACAGTCAGTGATGTAAGTACCAACACCCAATGCTGGGCGAGGGCACTGAGAAGCGTTTCAACCAAGCCACTGTGCATGTTGAAGGCACAAAAAAGGGCAAACAAATTAAAGAATTGTTGAAGAAGGCACTGAAGTGGTTTATTTTCTTTATTTTTCTATCCAGCATACTCTCTTCTTATATCACTTTCCAACTTAGACCAGATCTTGATGACAGTCTCGGTCTTCGGGTACTCCAGGTTTGCCCCCACAGGTCATTCTGGGGTATTTGGGGACAAAATGATCCACCAGCTCGGCAAGTAAACACGGCAAATACAGCTGATGCAGATATCCGAGCACATTTTTACGTTTTAATAAATAAATGTCATCATAATTATATACCTACAGCATGTTACTGGGAAAACGAGGCGAGGAGAGTTTTTCCCTGCGACATGCCTGCGTTGGAGCTAATAAATGTCGTCGGCAGATGTGAACGGGAGAGCAATGATAACGCAGATAAAGTAAGCAGACGGGCGACGATAACGAGTCTTCATTCGCACAGAGGAGATACGGCATTCGGAGTTCGCGGATGAGAGATAGATTGCAGAGTGTGCACGTCGTCATCACAGCAGCCATATCGCGTGTATCACAACTGCCGTGTCACAGAATTTGCCGATGCTGGGATTGCACAAGGTTTTGTTGTGTTGCGTTGCATTGAGGCTCCTTTTCATGCGCCGTGTTTCGAGTCTGGTTGGACGCATTGCGTATTTATCAGCTGTATTTCATTATCTGTGACCAGAACTAAGTTTATTCTTCTTATCCTCCCTTTTCTCGTCAGATCATGTCATTGAACCCCAGCCTTTATGCCATAAGTCCTCAATTGATGTCGGAAAATATCGCGAGGCTCAACCTTCTCCCGCGCTCGATGCAACCGCTATCTGTTTGGACCTTTTGGAAGACAGACTTTTCGGAAGTACAGATGAAGACGCAATGTATCCGACTCAGAGGTACCTCTCATATCGAGTGTACTATTGGGACCTGACAGTTGGTCAGTGTACACTCGCAACAAAGGTTCCGGTCCTTCCTGTTGAATTGCGTTCGGATATACGGCAGGAATGTAAAATTTACAGCTCAGACCATGCTTCATAGCTTCCAATGCCATCATCGGCCCGTTCCGAAGTTTATGTGGCCCATGAAGCAATGTCTAAAGGTAATAATGGGAGCTCACAGGCAGATGGTATGAAGGCTTCTAAGGTATACATGTCATATCGACCCTCTTCGACTGAATAATCTAACATACACATCCAAAGCCCTCAATACGTCGAGTCTATTTATCAGTTATGATATATCGTTCTAGCAAAGCTTTAACAACGGAAGCGGACGTGGCCGCCGCAAAATCTTGCCATTCCTTGTTCTTGTGAGTGTCTGCATAGTCAGTCACCTTTCACCACAATACATGGCCAAGTCTCCCCATAAACCAACGCTCTCCATCTCAAAAGCTGCAATACCAAAGGGCTCAGCAAGTTCATCTCCACCCCGGCTCGACTTGAGTACCGTGTCCCGGAACCAAACCGACACATAAAGATCTGAGGCTTTTGTGCCTCGCAAATACTCCTTTGCTCTTCCCAGAGTATTTTCTCCTTCAGCCGATATCTCGGTACAAGGAAATTCTCATCACATCCCGCCTCACCGCATGATATATCGCGACAGCGCTCGCATACCTGGCATGGCTGCTAAAGCATGTACATAGTACCAAAGTGTCGATCTGATGCTGTTAGGTTGGTTCGTAGAGCCGATCACTGGCTGAGCCAAGGTGCTGATACTTCGAGTTGCCATTCTGCTGGATTTGTTCCAAAACCTTTGCTGATCTTTCTGTAAGATCGTTAAGAAAGACATCATTTCTCATGTGGATAAGAAAATTGCTTATCGCTTTTCTCGCGGCATGGATGGGTTGTTTGGTCACGAAGTTGTCTTGGTACCACGTACCGTACCTCGTTTGAACTAACTATCACGTCACCAAGAAAGACTTCTCTGCTTCCATCGTTGGGTCATTATATTTCGGGGATACCGCCGCAGATACCAGCCAGGAAGGCCACCTCTGACCCTGAGTGGGAACATTGTAAGCGGTCAGCTGCAGTTCATGCGCTTAATTTTGCCCATACTGGACAAGAGAAAGAAAGATTCAGATGACGAAGAATATATAAACTTAAATTATTTTATCACAGTATTTAAAATAATTAGTCATTGTGCTCTCGGTCGGTTCTGTTAAGTCTTTCGGACAGCTGATCTACCTTTGAAAAGTAATTCCTCCTCATGGTTCTCATCTAGCACTTTCACCACTTCCTTGGCAGACTCTCGATCGGTGGAACCTTGTTCGTGCTTTTTCGAGAGCGTGTGAGATTCGAGCAACTGAGTGGTTGCTTCTAGTGAGATAGCGTTGCCAGGAGGACCTGGCGCTGTGCCACGCCACAAGGATATATATGCACTTGAATCATGAGGTCGTCCATCAGCTAGCTTCTCAGATAGTATTCGCACAACGTCTGCTCTGATTCGAGCCTTGATGCTTTCCATAACCAGCATTCGTTTACGGCTTGATTCCTCGCCTTGGGATTCATACACATCAGGCATTCGCCAGGCAAAATATGCATTTTGATGTGAGGGCCGGACTTGAACGTCAGTTGGATACTCATCGAAAAAGTAAGAGCACAGTTTGCAGGGTGGTTTGCTTGATCCGATGAATTTCCAACGATTGAAAAACCGTTCAGGACGGATTCCACCTTCGGACCTTTCTAGCCAGTCATGTACTAGCACTTCTGCATGCACCTTGGGGAGAGGTGCACCACGCCAAAGTTCAGAGACCTTGGCGTCTATGTCGTGGACAGAAAGTGAGCCTAACTGTGCTGCGAAACGATCCAACAACGACGCATCGCTAGTCATTTTGCTCATGATCTGAGCAGCCTTCCATGGATTTGGAGGAAGAACACCAACCACTGTTGAACTTGATGGTATCATGCAGATTTGAATGTCTGAGAAGAGCTGAGGCCAGATCTCTGATACTAAGTCCATCAAGTCTACTGCACGCTTATAGGTAAGCAGTCGACCTGCCACATGAACAAAGTCTGACCAGTATGTCGTTGACATCATGCTATCCTCACGCGCCACACGGCGCCTGACGTCGACAAATATATGGGACTTGAAGAAGCTGCTTAAAGAAGTAATCAAGTCACATACGCTGAAGTGATTTACTTAATAAATAATCATTAGATCGGCAGTTGACCCTGGATAAAACGATCCAAATACTCACCTGGTTCAGAGTGACATGCGTCAAAACAGGCTTCTAGAAGGCGTAGGATTTGGGATATTTCATTTTGAGTCGATTTGCCTAAGACTTATCAGTTCCATTTGGAAACCGCAAACAGAAAATACGGAACTTACTTTCCTGGGTGCTCTCACGCTCACAGGCTTCAGTGCAAGCTTGTAGATGGACTTTCAGCGATCTCAAGTATCCATTTACCCGGCTTTTGCACAACTCGAGCGATGCGTGTAGGGCCTGGATCCGAAGGTTTTCTCTTTCCGCACTATGCTCCGGTGGAGCTGCAGAGAACATACGCAGAATAGAAGCTATACTAGCTTGAATAGCTTCGTGTCTTTCTGAACTTTGGTGGTTGAAGCCAATCACATACTGGACACAATCGGGCAGCTGTAACACAGCACAAGCCGAGATTGCTCCGCTACCAACCTCGGTGCAACAAAGGTATGCAATTTTGGAAACAAATGCTCGGAAAAGTGGCTCCAGACCTGTCAAAGCATCGAATTCTGGGTCCTCTCCTAGTCTTCGTCGTGGACACATAGATGTCAAGACAATTAATAATAAAAGAGGAGGGTAGAAACGTTTGACTACCCCCGGCTCTAGAGCGACCGGAAGCGGTTGCTGAGTTCCATTTGATTCTAATAATAAGTCAACGTACTGCGACAATAGCTTTGCTAAATGCTTACCCATATTCACAAATACCTTGATGAAAGTAGTCTAAGCAGAGAGGGTGAATGCCTATTGAAAACTTTATTGATTGATCGCGTGATGGTTCGAAGTTCATGAAGTGCGAGGTGTGTCATTTCAGAAGAACCGTCAGGGATTTCACCCCGAGTAGCGTGGCAGGCCTCAGACATATTGCGGCTTGAAAATTCATTGCTGGTTGGGTGACAAGCCAACTGTCGGATGTGAACACGTCAGTCACATGGCTAAAATGGTATGCCTCTTGCATATTGGCCAATGGGATCTTGTATTGATACCCTGTTACTGAAAACGCGAACAAGATTGTATCATCGATGTCCTGTCGCACCCGCAACGGTCCAATGAAATTGGCCTTGGTAAGCATTAGCACAATTCGAGTCGGTAGGATGAGATAAGTACGAGTCTGGAGCTAAAAAGCCTGCTCGTCCAACTACTCTGCTTTTTGCTTCTAAGATTTTGCACCTCGATTTCCTACAGCAAACAGAATCTAGAAAGAAGCGTTGTAAGTTTATAAGTATACAACACCGTGTCTGCATCCGCTTCCGTACTTGATTGGCTGAGCCAATGGTCTGACGCAGCCTGACAGAGCATATTCCCTCAGTTGGCTCTCACTACGTCCCTGGAATGCTTGTTGTTGAGTATTACAAAAGAGAAAGATGGAAGATCACTCGCCTGTTGCCAGGGGGGGAATGGCCCAATTCGTATCGTTGCGCGAACTCGAGCTCCATCCAACAGTTGATGCAACAGCTCTACCCACCCATACCGATGCTTCTGATCAAAGCGGCGAGCATTAGTCTCCAACCGCTATTCCAAACAGACCAGATTTATCTGGCATTGGATCTCATGATCAGATTCCACCGAATGAGCACAGCATGGCCATGGTCAATTCGGTTAGCGGAGCGTCGGTTAGGAGCAACGAAGAGCGGCGACAACCGCGACAGCTCTTCCAGGAAGATAAACTGCCTCCCATTAACGATTATGCCCATGGCGGTAAACTTACAGGATACTTTTGTAAGCATCCAGCATGTAAGACTCCTCGCCAGACATACAAACTAGCAAGTCGTGTGAAGTGAGTCAAACTATTCAGTCTCTCTCGAGTGGAAGTTGACGATATAGGAAACACGCTCGCAATCACTATAAGCCAGTCATATGTCCAGTTTGCCCAGAAAAGAAAGCGGAACAACAGGATATGAAAAAGCATGTTCGAGTTTATCATCCCTTTCTTGCAACGGTTTTGGGTATCTCTGGCGAGTCTTTACGTTGTTCTATCTGCCGAGAGGCTATCTCGAACAGCAGGAAGGATAATTTCAAAAGGCATATGCGTAACTCGCACGGGATTGAGATGGACTGAAAAAAGCCTTGGCTGCTAATCGCATAGTGAATGAGGAACTTCAAGAGGGTTTCACGTCTTCAGTCGTTGGGTTAGTTGGGGATAGAGTAGCCTTATTAGAGTAACATAGATGTTATAAGATATCACAGATAGGAGGTTTATATAAGCTGCTTGCTGATTAGAGATTTAACGGGTCAAGATATAATTATACTTAAATGCTTAAGCCTAAATATATCTCCGTATACATGCAAAAGAATTTCAGAGTTTTAGCTATCAGCATAATCCCTCTACATTTAAATTACTGTATAATATAGGTTTAGTTGAACTACTTACAGAGAAAGGTTACGCGCTTATTAAGCGAGAAAGAGTCTAGTTAGGATCGCTCGTCAAACCAATTCAAGCTATTAATTCCATAAAGTAGGAAAGTCGCGGCATTAACACGCTTCAAACCAATTAAGGCTTGTGGATTAAATGCCTTACAAGTTCTTCTAAAGCCCTGAATATATATAAATCTTCTATCCTGGGCACGTGAAAAGCACAGAAGTAGTCGGAGCAGACAGGAGAAGCTGCTAAGTGTGGCGGTGAATTGTTCTGATCTAGCTCAAATTCCTCAGCATACACAGCTACGTGATAGTGTCGTGAAACCTATGTCACCATTCTACAAAAAGCCGAAATCTGGCAAATATGGTGTGGGTGTAGTGCTTACGATTCTTATAATAAGCTGTTTGCTGTTCTCCCTTGTAATGTAGCTATTGACAGTCTGGGCCGGAATGCTATAAGAATGGCAAGGTCGGATGTAATGTATGACACTATCTACCGGCCTGATGATAAATGAGAGACTGGTTTGTTTGTTGAATTAAAAAAAGGAAGAGAAGGTCCCAAATTATAGGATTTTATTATATAACCAAGCTCTGACTAACTGCGGAAGCCGCTCTTAGCTATCTGGTTAGGTCGTTGTTCCAGTAAAAGTCCTCCCTATCTTCAATCCGTCAATACGAACCAGACACCAATGAGCAACAAATAAAAACTCTGCAAATAGTTATACTTTGCGTGCCTAAAGTAAGTAAGATCAACATATATATAACAGTAAGGGCTACCATTTTCTTATAATTTAAATGGATTATTGACTTTGATATCTAGGTAATTACCTTTAACAACGCGGGGTGTTGTTTCTGGAGTTTAAGCTGTAGCACTAATTCGGCATACCTCGGTCTAACTCTCCCTTATCAATATGCTTAAAGCAAGCTTTATCTTGACGTGATTCCTGACGTTTCCTGCGGAAGCTCGAAGAGGAAACCTACAAGCTATGCAGGAGGGAACCGAAGCGGGATGGGCAATGCCTTAGACTATTACACAAGGCTACGTAGATTTTCAACGCAGCCTCATTTGACCGAAGGGGAAAGGTGTGGGTTGCTATCAAGGTCTGGATTGCAAATAACTCGTGCGCTATTGGGGTCGCTTAGCATGGGTCGGACCTGTATAGGCGTGAAGTTTAATGCCCCTATCACGAGATCAGTATTAGCTTGGAAAAGGCAGTTGGAGCCTAAGAGATAGATAATCCACGTTTTAGCTACGAATCACAACGTCAACTGCTGGGGATCCATCAAGTTGGAAACTCTGCCTTAGGATAGGCGGTGAAGGGTATCTTAGACCGACGATGGTGACTGGATAGGTTTTGGGCTGATGGTATCTGGGGTCCCACTGAGCCGCAGTTCAGCATGCTTCGTAATTATGGAGCGCGCCACGCTATTGAAAGTTATGCACTATGAGTAAACGCGCTATTCTTAATAGTTTAATGCACGCGTTGGTGGTTCTGTATATGAAATACGGTTGGGCTTGGTAGGTGGATTATGGGATATGCGCTTCTTTGTAAAGACTGAGATGTGAGATATGGAAAAAGGGTGTCAATCCTTCTATAGTATTTTCTGAGCTTGCCAATTGGCCGAAGTAGCATTATTGCCATGAAGAAACTTTTACATTTCTCGCGACCAGTCAGATGCAGCGTATTATTAAATGTGATAGCTGTGGGTCAACGAGACACTTTTCAGCTCCCATTTTCACTCCAACGCTGAGCTTCTAATCAGTATCCAGACGTATCCGCACCGAAACGGTCAACCCCAGCGCTTATCTACCTATCGCTCAGATTCTAGAACCGAGCAGCTAGTTAATATGGCACGATGGCTGCTTCTGTGTCCATTAATATGGGGTATCGGCCCGTAAGGGGAAGCTATTCCGGCTCTTCAGCTTTCAGCTTCAAGCCAAGGTCTTTCCTAAAAGCGCTTCTTTCCATCTTGGCATGAAATCAAACGAGTCTCAGTATACAGAAATGACAGGTAACTTGAGAAACCCTGTGCATATTGCCCTCAACAGAAATGGTACGGAGGAGTTGTAATCGGTAGCTATCTATGTTCCCTGATAGGCATCTATGAAATTCAGTTATAAATACCAGCAGAAGTCCGGTCATTTGGCATTCAATCCTTTCTATCTTCAGAACTCTCAGAGCCCTCTTTACTCAAGTTATATTCTTTTTACTCTTCAGTCTATTCAAAATGGCAACCACCGTCGTTCTGCCTAGTCTTCCGCCAACTATACCCGCTGCGCCTAAGCCTGGTGACATTCTCAAGCATCCCTCGCTCGATGAGAAGAAGAAGGAGGCTAGCATTAGTATCAAAGATGCGCCATTTTCCGACATCGACCCTGGTGTTTTCAACAGCGAGCTCGTGAAGCTCAAGATCTATGCCAAGCCCCAGAAAGATCTCTTGGCGAAGCCAGAAATTGGCAAAGGCAACATCGTGAAGGGTACCTATATTGGCACTCAGGCTGCATTAACTCACGCATATGGCCGAATTGAGCGAAGGTAAGACCCGCTGATTCATAGTGATGACTGGATATATACTCACGTCCTCAGCTACGAGTCGTATTTTGATGTTCTGCAAGTTGAGCCTACCCTACCTCGCTATGTAGACCTCAGCCAAAAGAAACAGTTGTTTCAATGGTCGGCCTATCCGACAGAAGATGGCAAGCCTTCTCGATATCCTCCCCATCTGCAGACAATTCCCAAAAATGAACAAGAGAGCAAAATCTTCAACGCCCTCGGCCTCGTTGAGACTGGTTTGATAATCAAGCAGATCATCCCAGATACCTTTCTGGGCAAGACAGCCCTTTGGATTACTGGCCTTAAAACCGGAAACATCTCCGGCGCTCCGACTGCAGGAAACACGATTGACGCCTTTGTCAAGTACAACGCAGAACATCGAAAATCAGGAACCGATATTGAACAAGGACGCAATATCGGCCTTTTGCCTGATTGGTTCAGCGATCGCCGTTTCGCCGATCAGTCTTTCACTGGCACCAACCCCACTACCATCGAAAAGGTCCCCAAGGACCTCCTTGCCGAGTTCATCGAGACCGCAAAGCGTGATGGGTGGGATTACTGGGCCAAGACTCTTCCCACCATTGACTCTGCTTCGCTTTTCGTGCAAGACACCCGCTACTTCCGAAAGGCTTTTGGCGCGAAGCCTGATGCTGAGTTGAAGCACAAGGAGCCTTCTTCGGACGAGAATTGGGCTTGTTCAGCAGTGACTCTCTATCAGCTCCGTGAGGACGGCAAGTTGCACCCAATTGCCATTGTGTGTGACTACAAGACTAGCATGAAAGACTCGGTCACCATTTTCAACCAGCGCAAGGATCCCTCTGACTCGTCTGTGAAGGAGAAGGACGACTACCCGTGGCGATATGCAAAGACCTGTGCCCAGGTTTCAGACTGGATTCGTCATGAGGTTGGTGTGCACCTGACTCGGGCTCACTTGATCGAAGAGGCCTTGATCGTTGCAACCCATCGTACTATTCCTATGGAGCACACGATCTTCAAGATTCTTCAGCCTCACTGGTACAAGACTCTATCTCTTAACGCTGCTGCAAGAGAAACACTTGTTCCACAAGTGATCAAGGATCTTGTTGGCGTCAGCCCAGATGCCCTGTACTCATACGTCAAATATGAGTTTGAGAATTTTGACTTTGTCAACAATTACGTCCCCAACGATTTGTCCAAGCGTGGGTTCCCTAGTACTACTGAGGGCCTCGCGGACAAGAAGTACAAGAACTACGCATACGCCAAGAACATGGTTTCCATGTGGAATGCCATTCGCTCGTATGTCATGAAGATGCTCTTGATGTACTATGACCAGAAAACTGCCGATAAAATGGTTCAAGAAGACCCATACGTCAAAGAGTGGTGCAAGGAAATGCAGACAAGTGGTTGGATCAAGACCTTCCCAACTATCACGACTCTTGATCAGCTCTGTGATGCTTTGACTATGTCAATCCACATCGCCGCTCCATTCCACAGCGCCGTCAACTACTTACAGAGCTTCTATCAGTCATTCGTCCTCGCCAAACCTTCCACTCTGTGCAACCCACTGCCGACGTCCCTCGCCGATCTCAAGAACTACACCGAGAAAAACCTTCTCGACGCCCTACCAGCTGATCGTCAAAGGGAATGGCTACTTTCCGTTCAAATCCCCTGGCTATTGAGCTTCAAGGTACCCAGCGAGCGCAGTCTGATCAATTTTGCGCAGTCTCAGTGGCGCGCACACAAGTCTGGAGAGAGTGATGTGGACAAGAGTATCAGCAAGTTCAGTGAGGCATTCTATCTCGACTTGAAGAAACTCGAGGTTGAGTTCCTTATCACGAGTAAGGGGATGGATGAGGGCGCTATTCCCTACATGGTCTTGGATCCCGGCAACACTGCCGTGTCTATCTTGATTTAACTAGCGGTTTATACATTGTATGTAGCTTGTTGCTATTGTTGAAGCCGGCTTTTTTTACTCTGGAAGTTGTAGTTTAAACTTTAGCTAGAAACTAATCGAGCAGCTAGACGTTGACATTTCGTCGATAAACTGACCCGAGCATGTGAATCAAGATGTAGCTGTTATAACGAATGTTTTTTAGACCGTGTATAAGTCCTTCTTTAGCTTTAGATTAATATACTAATAATACAGTACTTATTAATTGCTAGAGACCTAGTCTATAGAGGAAACTATGTTTATAGGTACTTATAAGAGGCAAGGAGCTTATACATATTTATTAGTAATAATTCCTTAATTATATCAATACAACTGTAGATTTCTGCATGCATGCTTTGGCATGACCTAGTGGAGTGACGTAGCATTTAATAGAGAGGTAATAATCTCAAGTTATACCGTGTAATAAAATGGCAATCCTACATAAAGGCATGTCAGAATGCAAATTGGCGATATTTGGCCCATGGTGGGGTGGAGAAGACAGGGTTCTTATCGTCAGGTCAGCGCGTTGTAACGTTGCTGAGTTGTCAGTTCCGCCGCCTTGGTCGTGTCTTCAATTACATCCAACCTTCAGAATTGCCTCAGAATCATCAAGGTATACGCAGAAGATGGCAGAGGCTTCAATTGAATCGACCTCGCCAAAGGCGGCCGCTGCTTCATCACCTCCAGCTGAGGCAACCCCTGCACCTGCGGAGGAGACTTCCACTGAGCCACCCACTGCAGAGAACCCCGCCCAGCCAGCTGAGGATTTCCATAACCCTAACCATTGGGCCACCTTGAACGAGGAAGTATGTGGAATCACATTCTGTTGGACTCGGTTATTGACATTAGGTAGGATGCGCTAGGAGATGACGACGCTGATTCAGCGGTCGGAGATGATGTTGCTAGCTCAACCGAGTCAATTTCTTCGAGCATTCTTCACTATCGCACTATCCATGGGAGAACGTATCACTCTGAGCGAGGAAATGCCGAGTATTGGTATGGAAGCTCTCTTAAGAGTGAGCTCTCGACTGATGTATACCAGGACACCAAACGACGAGCACCATAACGAGTCTATGGATATCAAGTGAGCCACGTGTTGCCAGAGATATGTGTACGACCTCAAGCTAACAGCTAACAGTCACCACCTCCTGTCTCTGTCGCTCGAGGGAAAGCTCCATCTGGCTCCTCTGAAGGATGACATCCAGGTTCGTACACTACCTTTGGATATTTACGAGAAATTACTCACAGAGATCGTAGAAAGTTCTAGATATTGGAACCGGGACTGGTAGGTTATTGAGACCCTCCCTGACTGCATGAGTCTAACTGAGGCAACAGGCATTTGGGCCATGTGAGATATCTTAGCATACGTAGGCCTTTTCTCTTTACTGACTCTGAAATAGCGATTTCGCCGACGAGTATCCCAATGCCGAAGTGGTCGGGACAGATATCTCTCCCATCCAACCTGACTGGGTCCCACCGAACCTGAAGTTGTACGAAACCTACAAGACCTGCCTCTACAAACAGAGACTGACGCAAGTAGCGAAATCGAAGACTGTACCCAAGAGTGGACTTACGACCCCAATTCATTCGATTACGTACACATGCGCTATATGTACGGAAGTATAAGCGACTGGTCCGCCCTGTTCAAAGAGGCTTTCCGCGTTTGCAAGCCCGGCGGTTGGGTTGAGAGCTACGAGGCCTCCCCTCGAATGGAAAGTGACGATGGCACTGTAACCGAAACCTGTGCTATCAACGAATGGGGCAAGTTCTTTATCGAGGGCGGGAAAAAGCTAAACCGCACTTTTGAGATCCTCGATAAAGACCTGCAGCAAAAGGGGATGGAGGAAGCAGGCTTTGTTGATGTGAAAGTTTGGGATTTCAAGGTATGTTGCATCACTCTTTTCTTCGTATTAGTGACTGACTTGGATCGTTTTAGGCACCTATCGGAGGCTGGCCTCAGGACCCTCGACTCAAGCAGATTGGACAGTTTGCTCAGGCTGCGCTTGAACAGGACTACGAGGGCTATGTTCTCTATATGGCTAATATGGTTCTTGGCTGGACTAAGGAAGAGGTTTCTGTGTACTGCGCTCAATTGCGACGCGAGATTCGATCGGGGAAGTTTCATCCTTTCTACCGCCAGCGCGTTGTGTATGCAAGGAAGCCTGAATAGGTATCATGTCGCATGTCAACAGCTTCTCACATAGCCTCTCATCGCAGAAGGGCGCATGCAACTGGTTGAGAACTTGACAGTTGCAGTTTCACATTCGCTCTGATGGATATTAAAGCTTATCCTGAAAATTTAATTGGTATTGCCATAAGCTGCATGTTTTTCCTTCATGCAATTCAACCGTGGCAGAATTAGATCACATCATGACGCGACGGGTTTGACATGTGCAAGCTCTGGCGCAATTCACAAGCTTAACCTCGGGATCTGTGACAGTCTTGGCTTGCGTGTTCTTATCATCAAAGTAGCCGATGGTCGTGGCCAGATCAAGTCGTGAGGTTGATCATATGACCTGGCGTTATCAACTGCTTCGGCCAACCCTATAGCGCTTGATTTTTTTTTACGGTGGACCTCACTTTTTTTTTTGTCGTGTTGGGGAATCTCAACAAAACGAAAAAGCACAAGCCTCTGAATCACGAGAGAAATGAGATACCCTAGACTGGGATGTCACATCAGATATTCAGGCTCAATACGACACAGCCATCACAAGCTTCGCATCGTCTTGGCAGGGTCCAAATACGTGTCCCTCACTCGCTCCACGTGGTGATGTTGCCTCGTAGGGTAGTAAAGGCGAAGAACTGCCAGACCAGACCAGACTGGCGGTGCAAGCATGAATGACAAGGAATCACTCGTCTTGGGGATTACGACGGCAAAAAAAGACCACTATTTCCGCTTGCGGTAATAAGTGGAATGATCGCCAAGATTACGCCGCCCGATACCGCGGTCTCCCCTGTTGTGCTGACACTGGTTATAGTAGGCGGTGGCAGAATCTTACGGCAGAATTGATCTAAGTTTATTCCCTTATTCAGTGTTGAGTACCCAAGATCGGTGGTCAAGTGATTGAGAGCAGGCGACAGAGGGGATTAAGCTTAAGTTTATCATCAGATACAGTAATCGGGAGACTCCATACTTGGCCGAGTTTTTGAGCCAGGCTGAGTCACTGAGTCAGTACATAATATGAACCGCGGCTTGGATCGGCGAAATTGTGCTCTGACTGGCAGTGATTCAATCACAAGGCAAGGATTTCCACTGCCGCCCACTGCGTCATATCACCATAATCAACACTGACAAGGGTGCGTGGATCCTGCTGACCTAATACCTCCGCTCACCCCTTTTCCCCTTTCAGTCACCTCGACTTTTCACGATATCGATAAAATTCCAAGCTTCGCACTACGCGCTCCCAGCAACCCCCCAACTCATTGCATAACGAAAAAAAGTATATCATACGATTACATCATGCGTCAACCCATATCGACACAACCAGTCACCAATGGTGACGGCGAAGAATGGTGTACGTATTCACACAGTTTTGCTGACGTTTTGAGATTGTACTAAGATTGAGTTAGATCTTCCCGACAAGATGCTCGCACGTGCGTGAACCCATGCTGTAAAATAGCTGCGTACTAACAACTCGTCTTCAGGACACCCCAGCAAGCCTCACATTGGCAGTGAGTTATATCCCAATCTGGAAATATTTGCCGTGCTTACAGTACCTAGGCTTGGATGAGTACCAGCAGATGCATCAGCTCTCCATCAGGGAGCCTGAAGCTTTCTGGGGAAACTTGGCTCGTGAGCTCCTTACATGGGATCACGACTTTCACACCGTCAAGAGCGGCTCGCTAGTCGAGGGCAACCCAGCTTGGTTCCTCGGCGGAAAGCTGAATGCTTCGTTTAACTGCGTTGACCGCCATGCGCTCAAGGATCCTAACAGGGTTGCTATCATCCATGAGACTGACGATGGAAATGGCGGTCGCTCTATCACATATGGCGAGCTGCTCAAGCAAGTCAGCAAGGTCTCCTGGGCTCTCAAGGACCTTGGCGTTCGAAAGGGCGATACGGTTGCTATCTACATGCCCATGATCCCTGAAGCTCTCGTCGCCATCCTTGCTTGCACCCGTATCGGTGCTGTTCACTCTGTTGTCTTCGCTGGATTTTCAGCTGGTTCGCTACGAGATCGCGTCGTCAACGCCAAGAGCAAGGTCGTCATCACTGCTGATGAGAGTCAGCGAGGCGGTCGAACAATCGGCATCAAGAAGATTGTCGATGAAGCGCTGAGCCCGCTTGAGGGTGTTCAGACACTTGTTTTCAAGAGAACTGGTGCTAAGGTTTCGTGGACTGAGGGACGGGATCATTGGTGGCATGAACAGACTGCCAAGTGGCCTAGCTACATCCCTCCTGAGGCCATGGACGCTGAGGATCCTCTGTTTTTGCTGTATACCTCTGGTTCAACGGGTAAGCCAAAGGGTATTTTGCATACTACTGGTGGCTTCCTGGTTGGAGCTGCTGCAACGGGAAAGTATGTGTTTGACATCCACGAGAACGATCGATACTTCTGCGCCGGCGACGTTGGCTGGATCACTGGTCACACCTACGTTGTCTACGCTCCGCTCCTGTTGGGTGTCTCTACAGTTGTCTTTGAGGGAACACCGACATTCCCTGATGCTTCCCGTTTCTGGGACATCATTGCGAACCACCAAATCACCCACTTCTATGTCGCTCCTACTGCCCTTCGCTTGCTGAAGAGAGCTGGATCCGACCCTGTTAACCATGACACCAGCAGTCTGCGAGTTCTCGGTTCAGTTGGTGAGCCTATTGCTCCTGAGATTTGGAAGTGGTACTACGATGTTATTGGAAAGGGAGAATGTCACATCGTTGATGTAAGTTGACCTCAGATAACCGTCGATAGAGGTGACTAACTCGAGTAGACATACTGGCAAACTGAGACTGGCTCTCACGCCGTCACCCCTCTCGCTGGTGTCAC